CCGAATAGAATGAAAAAAGAATCCGTTGCTCGGGGTTAGAGGAAAGCTGGGTTCGTAGGTAAGGCTTCTGACTCACAGTGACTTTCTAATGTTGTTAAAAAATAAAAAAATGATAATATATAGGCTGCAGAGATTTTAATATTGATGTTAAGAATTCAAATAGGTATGGTCAAAGACAGTGAAAAGGGCGCCACTTACTTTGTTTATGAGAGTGGTAAAGTAAGAAACCAAAAAGAAAAAATACGATATCACAACATAGCTAAAATAAAGTAATCAACAGCATTAAGGGTCTATTATGTTTATCAGGAATAAAAGCCAGAAATAACTATCCTACATTAAACATTTATTGAAAACGAACACAAGTATCATCAATTAGTCACAGTGATCCCAATAAAACCGCAAGTTATTTTAAATAGATTCGAATTTAGTAACTGTATTCTTTGAACTAGTAAGCTACTTAATATAAAAACAGGTGAAATTTATGTATGTCTCAATACGATGATGTTTCGAAACATGTCGTGTACAAAAACCTTTAAAATGAATACGTGTTAATAATTTTCATATAAAATATCATAGCTAAGTAAGAGTGTACTGTACGAATCAAATTATAACTTATAACGTTAAATAAAAAATAATTTTGACTATAATATGTGGGATAAATAGTGATAATTTACCAGTTATTAAATCTGTTTAAAAACAAAAATTATAAAATAAAAGCGTACCTTGTGTATCAAACTTAAGAGAGACACTTATCTGTATATAGTTTCTTATGATGGAAACAGGTAGTTAGGTATTCTCCAGACTAACAGAAGTGGATGCAGATGACTATGGCAGGAGAAGTCTTCGATATCAGCCAAAAGAACGATTGTAATGTCAGGAACACTGTCTTAAGGTCTGCATAGGTCCATACAAAATGCAAGTGGGTGAAACATACAATAATTACTGCATTATTACTGCATACCATGTTGTAATTACTGAGTACCATGTGGTAGTTACTGAGTACCATGTGGTAGTTACTGAGTACCATGTGGTAGTTACTGGTCTGAAAATCAGCTTTACATAAATATATTCAAACCATATGCCGATCCAAACCAGTAATTAAATACTCAAATAAACGAAATAAAAAACGGAAATAAGGTGATCATTCCAAGAAGAAACCAAACAAATACGATCTATACTCTGGATTGCATACTTTACAAGGTTTTCAAATTTCCAAATCGGATACCCACGCAATGGAAATCGAAAAGTGGATTCAGAGTGCTTTTCACTGGAAAATTTGTCGGACGCCGAAACACGCGCCTTCTTCAGATTCAAATTCCCAGAAAAAAAAAAGACCTTCTTCTCCGTTTCAGAACCCTAGCTAAAACCTTTTCACCACAGACAATCCACAGCGAAATGAGATGGGGACAAGTGAAATGCAATTAAGGAAGTTTGGCATATAGCGAATAGATGGCGCTAATAAACAAGACAAATGAACTGTAATAAATGAAGTTTGACATCTAGCGAATAGATGCGCTAATGAAGATTAAATATCGAGACAAGTGAGCTGTAACAAATGGAGTTTGGTATCTTAGGCATCTAGCAAATAGATGGCGCCAATACTAAGAAATTTAAATAAAAATAGATTTTTAAATTCAATTTTATTAAAGGAAATAAAAAATGCTACAATTTTTAGTCCACCGATTATTTAGTTGCAAAAGTGAAAACAATACATAGTTATGTAGCCGATCGGCCGACTATTTGATTGCAATTTAAAAATGCCCATTCTTCTCAAAGAGACCTGGTTTAAATTAAAAAGAACTATAAAAAAGACTCAAAGTCTCGGTCTCAACGTTATATTAAATAAAACAGTGACACGTGTTTCGCTCATACGAGCATCATCAGACAAATACAATACAAGTCAAAACAACACTGAGATGAGGCTGAAATATTGAATTTGATTGGATGTGAGCGCGGCTCTATAGGCTTGGTGCATTTCAGTTGATTTAAACAAATTCCGACCGCAGCGCACTCTACGGCAGAAATCAGAAAATATCAATATATAGTTCACGCCGCTGGCGCCGCTAGCTCGGCGCCGCCATGTCAATCGTATTAAAATAATATCGCAATCGGGGTTTTATCATAATATTTAAGTATTTTAGTTTTTTGCTAGGGCCGTTATTGATACTATAAAACCCTCAGGTACGAGGTTTTTGTGATGTAACGCTGTTTCGGGTAGTAAAAATTAAGTGAAAAAGAATACAAACTAGGCGTCTTGTTGTGTTGTGACAATTTCAAATGTTAATAAAATTAACCAAAAAAATGTTAACGCGTAAAGGAGAGCGTAATTAGGGTGTTGTTGGGTGCAATAACATTCAATAACTCAACTTTCCCGGATATTCAACTCTCCCGAAACAACGTTTTATAGCTTCATAATTTCTTACACCGATCTGATCAACAGTCAATAGCAAAAATGGATTCAAGCAGTTCGACGAAACAAGTGAGTAAACAAAGTGTTCGTTACATAATCTAAAAATTAAATAGACATACGCAATGCAATAAAATATTCAGCCGATTGGCTCCATAAGTATGTATTGTTTTCACTTTTGCAACTAAATAGTCGGCCGACTAATAATTGCATATCAGCTCGTAGCCTAAATATCCCAAAAAAAAGCTCGCAAGAAGAAGGCAGAAAAATGCTTGCTTCATTTAGAAATATGTAGTAATTACTTTTTTTCGATAATTTTGTTTTAAGTAGTGTATTATTGAGATCACTTTTGAGTTTTATTGCTTGATGATTTGCAGTAGACGGACATCAATTATCACAAATAAGCTATAAGCGTGCGTGACTTGAGCTATCAATTGCGCAAAATGAGTTATTTCAAAAATAATTTTTTATATAATATTTTTGTGATTTTTTTTTCGTTATTTTAACACGTATTCTGCTATTGGGGGCGGAGACATACTTGAGGTATAAATGGTGTAGCTATATGATTTTGTTTTATTTATTTATATATATTTTTTTAAATTGTGTTTTTTTTATTAGTATAATCAAATTAACGCCTATTTATATAGTTACAGTCTCTAAATTTATTCGGAATGTTTTAATTTGTTTTTTAATTGAAATTATACCCTACGAGTTGTTTTCTAAACTCACATTACACAAAACAGGAAACATTCTAAACACGTTCTGCATTTCAGATGAGGCGAATCTGCCTGCGCACGGAAAATGTTAAACAAACTTTTATAAATGAATATGTATAAGCAACAACTGGTGATCGCGTACACCATGTTTGTCTACATTCATTCGTGTGGATCTAGAGTTAAGGTATGTCCACATAGAGAAACATAAACGAATACGTAACAGGTGTTATCATTTGCATGACATTTTCGAACTTCGAAATATTTAAATAAGCATTATTAGGAATAGCTATTTATCATAAGTAAATTGTGGGTCATTTTACTATAATCATAACCTGTATCAAATAAAGAATATACACTCCATTACCAGGAAGATACTAAAAATAACTATTCTGAGCTATATTAATTATATATAAGTTACTGGTTGATTTTCTGCCTTGATTTTTCAAGCTCCGTCTTATGCTTAGAATTTTAATGTAACCAAAATTAGACATAAAAGTTTTACTTAAAATTTATACTTATATATAAAATCCTTAAGTGACTGACATACTGATTAATCACGATCCTGCTCAAACCACTCAACATAAGAAGCTTGAGCTTCTTATGTTGAGTGGTTTGAGCAGGATCGTGATTAATCAGTATGTCAGTATATGTCAGTATATTGGCATACAGGTTGATTCTAGGGTGTAGAGGTTCGATAAGAAGGGATTTTTCGAAATTCCAGTTCCAAGAGGGTGAAACCATCCCTCATATATTACAATATTTTTTATTTAAAAAACGGTCAAGTTACCGAAAAAACGCTTAAACACGTATATTTTATTTAGTTTTTTACATAATTTAAGATTTTTTAAAAATGTATACAGGGTGTTTCGAAAAATCTGGTCATTGATTAATCACGATCCTGCTTAAAGCGCTTGACGTGAAAAGCTGATTTTTGGAAAACAGATTGACTTTAGGGTGTAGAGGTTCGATAAGATGGGATTTTTCGAAACACGAATTCTAAGGGGGTGAAACTATCCCTCAAATATTAAAATATTTTTTATTTAAAAACCGGTGAGTTTTTCGGAAAAACTCTTAAACACGTATATTTTATTTTGTTGTTTTACATATTTTAAGATTCTTTATAAATTTATACAGGGTGTTTCATAAAATATGACCATTGAGTAATCATGATTCTGCTTAAGCTGCTTGACGTTTAAAGCTGATTTTTGGCAAACGGATTGACTGTGGGGTGTAGAGGTTCGATAACAAGGGGTTTCTCGAATCTCAAATTCCAAGAGGGTGAAAACGCCCCTCAAATATTACAATATTTGTTATTTAAAAAACGGTCAGTCTTTCGGGAAAACGTTTGGACAAGCATAATTTATTTTTTTTTACATATTTTGAAATTTTTTAAAAAATCATATAGGGTGTTCCAAAAAGTTGAGTAATTTCTTAACCACGATTCTGCTTAAACTGCTTGACGTAAAAAGCTTATTTTTGGCAAACGGATTTTTCGAAAGTCAAATTCCAACGAGATGGAACTACCCCTCAAATATTACCAAGTTATATAATAATATCGCCATATTGTTTTTTCTCATGCTGACATAAATGTGAGAAACTTTTATCCAGTTTGTATGTTAATGGAAATTCTTGCTTTGCTTTATCATCACCATTACAAATGATTAATTAGACGCGAACGAAGTCGCTGGTACACGCTAGTAATAATATAGTATATTTAACAAAACTTTGGTTGCACATTATAATACGACCAAACCAAACCAGCAAACTCCATAAGACGACGCATGATGTCACTGATGACGTGCAACCAAAGTTTAGATAAATATACTATATATTGTTTGGTGGATATTTTCTCTAAAATTTATATTTTGTTTCAGTTCCAATGGAAGAGACACATGGCGTTCTGGGAAAGAAAAAAGGTCTTCCCTGTAACATCAACCCTCGTGACAAAGATGATGCAGTTGCTATGGTACTATGGTTTAAAGAAAGCATAGGAGAACCACTGTACAGGTATGGATGTTTACCATTAAATCATTAAATTGGCACAACTTAGGTGATTATCTGGTAATAGATTACTGGCACTATAAAAATGTTTGTTTTTAAACAATTAAAAATCGATATTCTTTTTTGCTCAACAAACTAAAATCAACTAAGGAGGACTAGCTAACGATGATATAGTTTTGCTATATTTAACCAGTGACTGGGCGCTTATTTTTTATGAGGTGGAAAAAATATTGCATTACACACCTTCAAAGCAGTAATGTTGTATGATATTTGCTAATGTTGGATTCTTACCGACTAAGAAAACCCTCCTCCCCTTGTTTTGCCTTCTACGTACTTGTAACCGCTCTCGCATTTCTTCGGTGCCGTTATGATGTCTAAAAAAGACGTTCTTTTTCTTTGATCTCCATTATTTCTCTGGCAGTCCTATAGGCGCCTTTCAAAGATTCTATGCTTTTGACTAAACTTTCCATCGTATTAGAGCTATTAAATGTAAGTCCTATAAGTATTTGGTAGCATGTCTTGTTGAGTGATTGGGCGCTAGATGCGCATTTTGCTCACATATTTACCAATAGACGCGAATGTTTAATAAAACTTTAATAGCGAGACCCAGCGCTTATAACTAGTTTCCCCTAAAAAATTTCCAACTTTAGTTTTGGTATCATCTTTGAGTAGTGAATTTCTTGATCGACCCATATTGGGTGAACATTTCTCTAATCGCCCGATAAACGGTATTACATATTTTGTGACGGAGCACGCAAGGGCAATTGTTGAATTAAAACTGATACAACCAGAGCAAGGAAAAAATAACTGTACAATTGCAAAACAAACAGTGAAGAAAAATTTATTATTGAAATAAAATCATGATTATTATCTCATAATCAACTTTTCTCTCACATTTTGGTAACATTTTTAAACTTATTAACGATAATAAAAAAATTGACATTTCTTTTGTTTTCATAGAGTTGGAACACACATGGGCGTTTCATTTCGTTTACTTTTAGAACACAAATGCGCTTTTAATTCTAAATTATCCAAAAAATAGTCAATAATAGTCGATAAAAATTAGCCAGTATTTGGTTCATGCAGTATCAAAATTATGGACAGTAAACTAGCTGGCGAAGAAATTTGTCGATGGCAGCTGCTTTCAATGTTCAACCTTCCATACCATAAAGGAGCACCGATCACACATAACACTTTACGAATCTTAATCTAAGGTTAAGGTCAAAATCAGAACAGACAAATACTTTCCGAAACTTCAAGAATGCCTGCCGAGCTTGTTCGATGCGACAGTTGATTTCCTTGTCCAATATTCATAATTAAGTACTTAAATTTATCTACTCTTACTATGGTCCTTGTGTAAATGTTAAGATGGAGTTTTAAACACTTCTGGATTTCTGGATATTATCATAAATTTGGATTTCTCAATGTTGATGTTTAAACCCATTGCTTTGCTCTGTTCTCCTACCTTGTTGACCAGTTGTTGTGGATCGTGTATATTATCTGCAATTAAGACTGTATCGTCGGGGTAGCGGATATTATTAATTCACACTCCATTAATTTTGTCCCATATTTCCACGTCCTCCAGAGCCTCTTGGAAAATAGCTTCTGAGTATAAATTAAATAGGAGTGGAGACAGCACGCAATCCTGTCGCACCCCACTTCTAACTTGTATGGGATTGGACATGATATTGGACAATTTTTGGACGATTTTGTTTGTGCTGTTTGGTTCCAGTATAACTTCTCAGTGCATTGAATGTCTTTATGATCTACATCAAGTCTTTTATATCAAGTTTTTTGAGGAGCTGCATTACCAAACACAATAATAATGATTACCTAGTAGGGCAAAACCAAAGAGTATTAAAATTTTAATTGTATATTTTATGAACCAAGCAGATACTGACCATCTCAGTGTCAATAGTACTAGAAATTTGCAGAAAATAATTCTATTTTTAGAATTTCGTACAATCCTAAGCCCACCACTCAAACCCTTCGTTTCTTTAAAAATATAGCAAATCCTCAAGGACAGTAAAGTAATAAACAAACTTAAATTCGTCTCGAGAAAATTGTTCTTCTCGGTTTTTCCAACGACGAAATGCCATTTCCTAAAATCCTCCGCCGCCAGCTATATATATTTTTCTTTTTATAATCTGACGTGGAATCGTAAGCCGCGCGGCAGCATTTTTTAGCTTAAGCTTTTCAGTTAAAACCGCGATATTGATGACGGGCCGTCGCCCTAAGACGGGTATTTTATTGGAAGGTTTACTTTTCTAAAGAGGCTTTGGAGAAGGTCGCGTTGGCGGAGAGAATAACCTCGAATAAGGAGCGTATTTGGTGGAAAAATGGAGGTATAAAAGATAGAGGGTTTTAAAACAAAAAAAGGAAATTGGCTTGAAACTGTATCTAATACTGTTATTGTAAAAGTGCGTCTTCAAAAAAGTGAGTACGAGCAAACATATGATTTTTTTTGTTCGCTTGATATATTTGAATCTCGTCTATACCAAGGCAAATATATTCAGATTGTATACCTTGAGATTTAGTAGGTCTCAAAATGAATTTAGCAAAAACTATTATTATTAAATAATGTGCAGCCAACTAGTAGAAAAGACATTCTAATAAATATCACTAGAAATAGCAGAAGAATAAAATATATATTTGGAAAACTAATACATAGCTCGAGATCTCTACTACCAGAAATCAACAGAATAATAAAGTTAACATAGAATGCCACTTTATTTAAAGAAGAACTACCAGTCATGACCTATGCGTGCCAAACCTGGACACTTAAAACAGACATTTTAAGGAAACTGCAGGTAATAATGTCATCCTCAGAATCAAGTCCCTCAAGTCCTCGAGTACCGCTCAATGGGTAGGACACCTGGCAAGAAAGACGGACAACAGATAGGCTACAAAAGTTATAGTAGGGTACCCACGAGGAATTAAGAGACCTAGAAGAGGACCAAACCTAAAATGAGACCATAATATTAGAAAACTAGAAAGGATAACTTGGGCCCGCATAGCCAACGAAAGATAACAATGGGCCCAACATAATTAGAAATAGTTGAATTAGCTGAAAGTGATGATGATGTAATAATATGCACTTAATAATAATATGCACTTAATGTTATTAGTTTATTCAAGAATAAAAGGAAACTGATTTTGGCAAGTAACTATAGTTAACTCGGCACTTATCACTAAGTCTAAGATTACATAATTTGCCGGACGGCAGCATTTTTTTCGCATTGGTTAACAATACCGAATATACAGGGTGTCATTGAAGTGGTGTAAAAAAGGGGGTGATAGTACTCCTAAAAATAGTAAAAAAAGTTCCTATAAGTATAGGGCGGAAAATGCATATTAAGGGAGTTAGGGGCACTGAAAGGGTGAATTTAAAAAACGGTTGTTTTGAAATTGCAGGCTTAAAAAACGAGATAAAATTTCGAAAAAAAATGCTCTGCCATACATTTTGACCCTAAATTAAATAGTGATACTGAAAAATCATTTGGAAAAGCGAAAAGGGTAGTTTTTCCAAGGGTAGGGTGTTGTTTCGTGAATAATTTTTTTGAGGTTATTTTTTTTGCACCGTGGGTTCATTTTTTGAAATCTACATACTTTGTCCTACAAAAAAGGTACTCTTGTTGCACATCGCCCAGAGCGATGGTTTTCGAGAAAATTGAAGGCAAAGAGTTTGCTCTGATCGGTTGCTAACTGGTTAATCAACATAAACTTATGAAAGTTATGGCGGTTCAAAAGTAACCAGGTAGTTATCAAATAATTAATTGAAAAAATCAAAATTTCATGATTTTTAAAACATTTTATTGCTTTAAAAAACGAAATAATCCACTAGATTTCTACTTCTGGGGCCACTTGAAAGACTTGGTTTACTCAGTGCCGATTAATACTGAAGAGCAACTATGTCAACGCATTATTGACAAGGATATTCCACAGGGTACGCAGATCGTGGAGAAGAAGATCAGATGTCTACATTGAAATGAATGGTGGTCACTTTAAACATTTACTATGAATGAATTAAGGAATGCATTATTTTAATAAGGAATTTTGGTAATTGGTTTATTTCGTTTTTAAAGCAATAAGATGTTTCAAAAATCATGAAATTTTAATTTTCCAATTAATTATTTAATAACTACTTGGTTACTTTTAAACCGCCATAACTTTCATAAGTTTATGTTGATTAACCAGTTAGCAACCCATCAGAGCAAACTCTCTGCCTTCAATTTTCTCGAAAACTCTCGCTCTGGACGATGTACAACAAGAGTACCTTTTTTGTAGGAAAAAGTATGTAGTTTTCAAAAAATGAACCCACGTTGCAAAAAAAATTACCTCAAAAAAGTTATTCACGAATTTATTTATTTTTTATTTATTTAGCGTATGGCTTACATCACAGTATCTTAAGTTAAAGGACACAGAATGGTATAAACAACAAAAAAAAATTATATAAAAAAACTGCATAAACAACAAAAAAATATGTAGATAAAAAAAACTGCATAAACAAAGAAAAAAAAATATACACAACAAAAAAAATAGGCTAATTCGTCTCATAAACAGATATCCAGTCTTTGTATATAATCAATTGCCTCCTGAGTAGCTATAAGGAAATCTTCTGAGTTGCCCGTACATGCTCTTATTGGGCAGTCTTGCACTATATGTTTGACAATCTGCCTGTCAGCTCCACAGTCGCATGCGGCTGACCCTTCAGCCGCATTTTTCCCCACCTATTTAGAGAGTCGGCACACCTTCCGCAGTTAGTTCTGATGCGGTTAAGAGTTGTCCATGTTCGACGGGGAAGGTCGAATCCTGCAGGTTCATTAATAACGTACGGTAGACCATGGTACATTGGAGCTGCCTCATTTTCCCATTTCTCCCTCCATCGCTCATTTATATCAAAATTATTTTGGTACAGCTCATGTGCAGTCTTCAATGGAGGGTGTCTTGATCGTAGTCGATTTCCCTGGATGTGTGGTACGTCATCATGGACCTGCAGCTGAGGG